GCCCCGCGGCCGGCGCCGCCGCTTTCGCTTCCCCTGCACCCCGGCGCAGGGAGGAGGTGGAGGCTGCTGCGGGGCTGCAGGTGGCGGGAGGCTGCCGAGCATCGACGACTCGGGGCTAAGGCAGCCGCCGGCCATATCAAAGAGTAAACTTGGTGGCTGTTGTTGATGAAACTCTGGTGTGGCCGAGATGCTGTCATAGAGAATGAAGGAGGAAGAGAGCATCTCGAATGACATATTGTTTCACGGCTCTGTTACTCCAATCTTTCATTAGTCTTCTGTCACAGACGAGCACAAGGAAGAGTGGAAGATGAAGATGAAGAAGAAGAAGAGTGGTGTTTAAGTGAAGATGATGGAAAAGGTCGCACGTGAGAGAGGTCCGGAAAAAGAAGGCGAGCTTTATTGTTTCAAAAAAGTGAGAAAAAGAAGGCTCTCTCCCTCTCCATTTCCCGAATCCATAGATGCTGTCAAAAGACAGCGGCCCTTTCTTACAACTGAGGATGGGGAGGAGGAGCGGGTCCCAGCCTTGCTCGCAAAAAACTCAGAAAACAAATGCTTTTGTGCAGTGAGCTTCAAACAATGGCCGCGCTGAGGCTCGTGAGAGAAAGGTTGAAGAAATACCGGAGGAACATGGGAATTGGGAAATCTCTCCATATCCCAATCGATTGATTTTGTGCATTCTTTGTCTTAACAGATTTTTTTTAACGCTGAAGGAACATAGGTCACGGCAAGCACATGCACTGTTGGGTTTCTTCCTTTTCTTTTTTTTCCCTTCCTGCTCGAAACCCAAGGCCCGACCAACCTTCTCCGGTCTAATTAATCGCGCTTCTGATCTAATGATTTCCTTTAATTAAATAATAATTCGATGGAAAAATATAATAAAAAGGGTGGTCGAAGATTTGTTTAGAGGCTCCATAGGTATAATTCTCTGATGTTATTACTAAATAACCAAGATTTCTTTAATAAAAGCATAATAAAATCAATTAAGCTTTATTTTAATCCTAATCAATTTTGTTTATAGAGAAAGGATAAGTTCTAGTTCAGTGACTTCAGTCCACCGCGCTCCTCAAGGGAAGAACGTTAAGGCTTCAGTGTTGCATTTAATCCAATGATTATATTGCATAAAAATGAGTAGAAAGCTGCCAAGGGTTTTCTCGGGATGCTAGACGCAAATGTGGAGTAGCGGTCTATCCCAAAAACCAATATGCTCGGGCAGGCTTTACCCATTGGCACAGCCTTTGGGCTAAACGTCAATCAGTATTGGTATCACAAAATTAATTTTGATTATTTGAGGAAAAGATGCTACAGGATGCCCTAAGAGTTAGGATCTAAAGTTTATCTGTATAAATCTTAGATGAAATGCATAAAGAAACACATAAAGAGCAATTTTTTTTAAATAAAAATTAGAACTTTTAGTAAAATTTAGTCACTTTCTATGCAAAATCAATAAATAAATGTATATCATTCATAACACTAAATATTAATATCTAGGTGGAGATATGTAAACACTAAACAAACAAGAATTATACGGTATGTTTGTAAATCACCCTAAATAAATTCAATTTTTTTCCGGGTTGGGTTTCGCTATTGTGAGCTTTGACTAAATCAAAGCACGCTCAGGCCGAGTCAGATCTGCCAAATTTCTATTTTTTCAAAGTCAAGCCCGCCCATTCTAAGCGGACTTATGACGAGCCTGTCGGGCCACACACCCAGTTATGGGGTTTATTTATGATGTTTCCATGATTTTTAAAGCAATGATTGTTTTATGGAAAAAGGGAATAACTAATCTACTCACTCTCAAGCCCTTTTATTTCCTACATGAGTTGACGGATGAAGTCGATCAAGTTCAACTTAACTATTGTTTAAGTATAGCACGTGACCAGAGGAAAATATGTTGAGATTTTCATACCTATTCTATACTGTTTTTAATGATATTGCACTTTAAAGAAATGTATTTTTAATGTTTTGTTGCAGGAATGATGAATTAGGGTCATTTGAGCAAAAAGATGCAAAAATGAGCTAATTTGGAGCGAAAATGATCAAAATGTGGAGATTTGAACTAGGCCGCCAACGGCGCCCTTGATCCCACCGACGGCGCCCTTGATCCCGCCGACGGCGAGTTTTTCCCGAGGCTACAGGATAAAATTCTCAGAAGTCTGCCGATGACGCCCTTGGAAGAGGAATTTTGTGTGCTGTAAAGAAAGGAAGTGGTTCAGAGAAACTTCGAGGAATGTTCTTGGGGAGAAACTAGAGATAAGTTATTTACTTGTTGTAGTTTATATGACTTTGACTTTATATATGAATTCTAAGTTTTGTTGTGTTTTCCCCATGAGATCTGAGTAGTTTTCTCTGTCTTTCTTCTTGTCTTGAGATTTGTGAAATGATGATTTGAATTGGTGAAGCCATG